CCTGTTGTAAGTTTCTGAAGTGTGCTGATAACCGGCTTGCTTTCCTGCCCATGAAAAGAAATTAAAAGCATTTTTACCATGCAAACTGCTCTTTCGTAGTATTTCCACCTCAAGTTCCGGTGTAAACTTAATGTTGCATCTCTCCAAACCTTCTTCAACATTGAACCAATCCTTTGAGGATGATAATTCTATACACTTCTTCCAGGTCCTGCTCGTTGAAGGCCTTCGAAAGGGATTGTACTTGGTTACAATCTATCCTGTTGGGCTCTAAACATTATCACCCAAATCCAGGAGAATGTCCTGTCCTTTGAAGCCGTTATTGCTTACCTCATCGGCCTGAGCATGAATTTTACTAATTCTCTGCATTTGCTTCAATTTTTCAACAATATCTGTCTCTCTATTTCTCTCCATGTTAGATATAATCCATCGAAATATATCATCATCTCGAATGACTACCTTTTCCTCCTGCATTTTGCATAAAACCCGAAAAATTTCATCTGTCTTTGCACCTTTACCAAGCTCCTTAATGAATACTGAATATGCTTTCCAAGTGGGTCTAATCCCCCTATCCTCCATCGAATTGAACACTTTCCAAGCTTCGGATATACGGTTTTGGCCAACATGACCCACAACCATGGCCATAATAGCAACAGTATCAGGCTCGACACCTTTCTCCAGCATCTCATTGTATAAATCACAGCCTTTCTTATACTCCTTCGATCTAAAGAGGCATTGCATTAGATCGGTGTAAGTAGAAGCCGCAGGCAAGAACCCGGATTCCTTCATGCTTTGGAAAAGATCAAATGCCTTAGAGAAATCATTTCTTCTCAATACCCATTGATGATAATCTCATAAACCTTCTCGGTAATCAGTTGTCTTCTCTTCATAATATCAACAATCTCCATGGCATCAGCAATCCTATCAGCTCTGCACAATCCTTTGATCAGAATCTCGAAATAAAGGGGGTCTAAAGACAAATCTTTCTTCCTAAGGTCCCGAATAAATTCTAAAGCTTCCTTGATTCTTCCAGAAATACAGAAACTCTTCAATACATAGCCATAAACTTCTTGTTCTGGAATCTCAGAGACCCTCATCATGTTATCTGCAACCAAATGAACCGAATCGGTATCCCCTAATTTCGCTACGCAATTCAGCAGCATCTTGTATGAATTTGAATCAAGGCTCATTTCCTTCTCAACCATCTCCTTGTAAAACTCTAATGCTAACTCACCTTTTTCAGCATTGCAAAGAGCACGCACCATCGTCGTATAAGTCGTTGTGTCAGGTTCAAAACCGCATCTTTTCATGTTTTCGAAGACTTCCAGCGCTTTGCCAATCATCTTTGACTTCCCATATTGTGAAATTATAATTGTCCAAGTCTTTATATCTTTCTTGCAAGATTTCGCCTCCATTTCCTCCAATATCTTCTCAACCAGCCCAAATCCTTTAGCCTCACCACTTACATACAGCATGGTATTGAAAACTTCAGTCGTATAACTAAAACCTTCTCTAACCTTCACCCAGTTGAAGAATCTAAAAGCTAAATGAGGCACCTTAAAGCACCTTTTCAACACTTTCTCAACAATTTCTGGTTCAAAAGAAAACCCTGATTTATCTAATTGTTCCTCCATGGAAATCAAGGCGTTTTCAGCTCTAACTATCTTAGTTATCTCATGAACCACTGGACTAACATCGAATTCGACTGAATTCCCCATCCAGGTATCATCCAAAGCCGTTACATTCTCCTCTGTTCCCACCAATTCACTCTTCTCCTGGGCATTTTGATAAAAATCTGGCCTGCCAGACGACAATTGTTTTATAAACTCAGACTCCCTGGCATTGGTTCGTGGGGTAACTGAAAACCCAGATGGGATTTCACCCGAGGTTACTTTAACAGCTCCAAAAATTTCAGTTATTTCATTTCGCTCCTTTTCCTTCAATTCACTCCTCTGCTGGGCATTTTGACAAACACCCGGTCTTCTAGACAACGATTGTTCTATAAACTCAATCTCACTGGCTGTGTTTCGTGGAGTTATTGAAAACCCAGATTTGGTTTCATCTGGAGTACATTAACAGATCCTAAAATATCAGTTATTTCCTGGAAGAGTGATGGGATTCTACAAGCTTCAGCTTGTTGGGCTTTCTTCGTTTGTTTTGATGATTTGGAGAGTGATGAAAAATGAAGAGCGAGAGGCTTATGTCTCGAGAAATGGAGGAGAATCCCAGATTGTGAATGAAAGTGATGGAATCTGACCAAGTACTTCATATTCAAGCAAATCTTTTGATCTCCACTACCTTTGTTGTTGCCGATGTTCAGTTTCTTCGGAAAGATCGAACAAGGCAGGGTGGTTTTGAGAACCTACATGTTTAATGTTCAGGGTAAATTACATTTGTAACCACTTAACTAACGGATAATTCTAATCTGACTATCAATCTTTTAATCTGGTTAATTAGATCATTTAATTATTTCAATGATGCTAATCAAATCCCTACTATTATTTGGGCGCAACACTCTGATTTCTTCTCCTGTATTCCTTGTTATTTGACGACGGTTCCCTCACATCGTCGGCAAAACGAACCCTTTTCTTCACTTGACATTTCCCATTCCCTAAAAAAAACCCAGAATTCGATTCATGCTGCAATGTTAAAATAACCTAAACAAGAACATCAAGAAATAACATGCATGCACGTATGCATACGTCTAAGTATGCATGCGTGCATGTGTGTATGTATATATTACCGGCTAATTCAAACTCGGTCTTCTTCAAGAAATCAAAGAGGAGGCGTTTATAGATTTCATTTGCAATGAAAACTATACTCCCAGAAACTGCAATGCCATGAGCCCTAGCCTTAAAGATCCGGTCTCCATTTCTTTTTTCCTTAATTTTCTAAAAGATTTTTGTTTTACTGATCAAATGGATCCACTGAGAAATGATGACGAAACAAAAGAGGCATCTTGAAAAAGAGAAGGACGAAGAGAAGAAGTAGGTGGATGGATGGTTTTTATATGTGAAGATGATGAAACAAAGAGGATGAAGAGGATAATTATTAACTAATAATACACAACATATTGCCTTGTATGCTTAATTTTGACTTACCCTCGAAATAAATTCTCTAAATATTCAACTCAATTTTGGTGGTTATTATTAGATAATACTAAAACAACAATAAGGATGACAATTAATGTAATTTATTTTAGTAAATATTTAAATTTGATACCCTTATCTTGCAATTTTGATAATTCTTCATATCTATTCCACCTAATAATATTATTTTCAAAGTTTAAATTTAAATCCGTTGATTAAAAATACAATATATCTTACCATTTTAACTGATAATTTAATACAATGTATCTCACTATTCTATCCTATATGGTTACTTCTAAATGAAGAACTTAACTCTGTGGATGTTTTTTCACTGTTTCTTACTGGTAGTTTACATGAACAATTAGTTGGTGGTTGCATTTTTTAAGAATTTTGGTTCTTTGCTGATATAAAGTTTATGATACATAGTTTTCGGAGGATCTTTTAATGCATTTCATCTTTCAGTGTATGATCTGGTGTTCTTAGCTGAATTGATGAGGGAAGCAACGGATATATACAGATGCTTTAGTTCCCGAGTCTGACATCTCCTCCATCTTCACGTCCCCACCTGTATGCACAGGTACGTGTTGCTGTTGCGCCAATGCTTCAAGAAATATGATAAAATATGCATCCATTATACTGTTTTTTCTCAATCTTTGTATTAGACGAAGTTATAATTGGTTTCCAATCGGCTTTAGGTACATGGCTTGTTCAGTTTTCTTTAAAATACCCGCATTTGGCATCTTCTCGACACATTTCAATATAGCTCAATATGTATAGGACTCAAGTACTTCAAAGAAAATGAAGAATCGGAATAACATACATCATAGCCTGTGTGTCGATTATCTCTAATATTTTGTTTATCCTCGCATGTTCAGGCTGGACCTGATTATTAAGAGAAGGTGGTCACCAAAACTGAATACTCTAGTTAATTTCTTTTATATATTCGACACATTTCAATATAGCTCAATATGTATAGGACTCAAGTACTTCAAAGAAAATGCGAGTATCCTCGCATGTCGAATATATATCTTTCTAATGCAGTACACATGCTAGAGCTAGACCTGCTGATTAAGAGAAGGTGGTCACCAAAACTGAATACTCTAGTTAATTTCTTTTATATATATTCGAGTATACTCGCATTAGATACACACATACACACATATATGTAAATATACATCCGGGACTGAAACTCGAGCCAAATCTTTTTGAAAAGAAATACGGGTCTCGTTAAAAACCCCACTCAACTCAATCGAGCCGAAACTCAATCAAGACAGCGGACGGGAAAAGAGTACCCAATTATTTTATTAAATAACATCAGTACATAACAGGAACATCCATTAATATGTACCATCTATTCACCAATCCGAAAATCTGCCTAAAGCAATTAACCAACATCCACGACCCCTTCCAACTCGTATAGGAACCAACTATGGACCCCTTCCATGGTTGCACTCGACCGATTCCTCCCTTAGCCAATCTATCCGTCTCTGTGTTGATATCTCTAGAAATGAGAAGTGTTATCACATAAATCTGCCTAATTGTTATGTCAATGATTACTTAACAGTTGAGTTTGATGGTTTAATTGAAATCAAATTGAAAGTGTAGTGTCTTAATTGATGAAATTATTTATCCAATGATCAAAATAGAATCAAATCAATAATCTAAAGACCTTAAAGATAATTTACCCTTAAATTCAATATAGCCATTAGCCTACATCAAATTAACAGTCGACTCAAATAGCATGATTAATTTAAAATTAAAAGATTAATTCTTCTTGTAAAATCGAGTTTTTGTTCATTCTTCTCAAATTTCCTGCAAATAGAATGTGGTGACGATGAAACAAGTAGTGATACTTAGTTTTGGGTTATGAAAAGTAGAGGATTGGGTGATAATGGTTACCTTTGAGGGCATGTGCTTCAGTGACGAAAATTGGGAGTAGAATGCTGAGGAATGTATTATCTTTCATGCTGACAAAAAGGAGCATTCATTATTAGATGATTGCAGTTAATTATTATGCTTTAAACGTTTAAAAAAGCAATTTGATGCACTACCGCCTGTTTCTCTGCTTATAAATTCACATAAATACTCAACTGCCCTTCCGTAGGTCTTGCACCAGAACCTGAAGATAGAAAACAAGTAAGAGATATAATCGCAGCTTCTCTCTAACCCAGGTGATTTCAAATTTTGAATTTTCACGAGCCCGTTTTGAATCTTTTCTCTCCTCCGTCAAACACCCATTGTCCTCCATCGTCGTCCGCCACCCGCCGCCTCCGTCAGCTGTCCGCCGCCTTCCTCTGACCTACTTTTGACGCGTTTTTTCCTGGGAGGTTCGTCGGCTAACGGTGTTTTCGGATCTGGTCTTAGATTTGCGAAAATCACTGCAATTTGACGCAAATCTTCACAGCTTCCTCTGTTATCTACCGTCGCATCCCGCCGTCAACGTTCGACACTGTCTCACCTTCGAACTCGTCTTCTCTCCGTGACCAGAACCCGCGTTTCCTTGCGTAAAGAATCGTTGCTTTTTGCTCTGTAAGTTTCGATCTATCCATGGCACCTCAACCACCGTCCCAACCCAGGCGACATCGAAGGTCTGCTGCAACAGACGTGGTGGATGCTCCAAGGTCTGCTGCATCAGATGCGGTGGATGCATCCTCTGCAGGTCATTGTTCTGCTCCTCCTTCAACGACTAGGATTTCATCTCTCCCTCTTGAAGCCAAGGATTTAGAAGCGAGAGTGAAGGAACTCAAATCTCTTGTGGCTGATTTGAAGAAGCGAGAACAGGAACTTAAAATGCTGGAGGATACAATATCACGAGGTAGGCAGTTCAAAACCGCTGGACTCGTCGCTGCAAACACTTCATCTTTTTCTGGTAAGGAAAAACGTTCAAAGGAGAATGAAAAGGAGAACGCAAAGATTCGGAAACGATACAGACGAGTTTTCACCAGACGTTTGCTGGCTGGTTTGAGGCAGTTCGGTAATTTCCCTATTCCCCAGTATGCTGCTATGAATGATGTTTAGCTGCCTTGGCTCGTGAAGCTGGTTGGACAGTTGAGCCCGACGGTACTACTTTCAGAAAGATTCTATGTCCCAAAATCAGCAAAGTTTGGGAACGTATATAGAGAGGTCAGGTGACAGTCCACATTCACCCAATCCTCTGAAGCAGTGCTCTGATAAAGCAACATTGGATTGTCAGCCACCTGTTAAAAAAGATGACATTGGTCGGTCTTCTTCTCAAGGAGGAAATCATAGGGTCGGGAAGTTTTCAATAGTTCAGGCAGTACCAACTCTTCCTAACACCGATATTGATCAAGATGGAACCAAGGAGAGCACTATGAAAGGTTTCTCTAATGAAGATTTTCTCGAAGTAGCGAGAAGGAGTAGAAGTGGTTTTCATAATTGGTCGAAAGAAGGTCAACCAAGTTTCGGGAATGGGTTCAAAATGGTTGTTACACGATTTTTATCGAAAATCTTCCAGAGACGATACATTGGAAGAGACTTCGGTCTATTTTTTGCACTTACGGGAAAGTTATTGATGCCTTCATTCCAAAAAAAAGAAACTCGCAAGGGGTTCGTTTTGGGTTTATTCGCTTTGCAACAATTAAAGAAGCCAAGATAACGATTTCAAGATGAATGGTAATCATATTTATGGAAGAAAAGTTAGAGTCTCTTTGGCTAAGTACAGACCCGACAATCTTACTGGAGAAAGTCATCGACTGTTGTTTGCCGTAAGTCTGGGCTGGAAGATATTTCGGGGATTAAATTCTCTGAAGTTGAGGGCTTTGTGGACGAGGATAAGCTACATGTGCTGAGTAACTGTCTTGTGGGGTGGTGCAAGAACTTCATTAAAATTGGTAATCTTGCTAACCAAATTCAAGCCAAAGGACTTGCTGGCTTCACGCTTATGAGGGCTGCTGCAAATGTAGTTCTAATGGTTTTTGAAGACTCTGATTCGTTGAGAATCGTGAAGGATGACTATCTAGAGACTCTTACAGAATGGTTTTCCAAAGTGGAAACTTGGTCCGAGAGCCTAGTGGTGAATTGTCGTCGCGTGTGGTTAGTTTGCGAAGGTATTCCTTTTCACGCTTGGAATTGGGATACTTTCAAAAGCATTGCAACAAAGTGGGGCAAATTATTATCAATCGACAAAAGTTGCGAGTTTCCATCATCTTTTGATCGGGCTAAAATCCAAATACTCACAAAAGATCAAGTGAGAATTGATGAGTTGTTGGAATTGAAGGTCGGTGATAATTTATTCAAGATTATGGTGCATGAAGTTGATCCATCCTTCAAACCTAACTCTTGGGTCCCCGAAGATTGCGATATCTCATTAGAACTTGATCCTCCAATTGATACTTAATTGTTTGGCATATGTTTTCAGAGGCGTTTTTTTTTTCTCAAGTTTTGGTTGTAATGTTGGTTTGTTTTGCATTAGGTGTTGTTAGATTTGGTTAATAGGACAGCCAATTTAGAGGTTGTTGTCTTACCTAATGAAGGAATTGGCTGGTCTAGTGGTGCTATTTATGGGTGGTTTTAGGTTGTTTTTGTTCATCGGTTCTGTTATAGGTGTTTGTAAAGTTGTATCTTTTGTAATCTCTTATGTGCAATAAAATCCTTAGGCACTCTTTTCCTCCTTCTGTTGATTAAGGAGCTACACTACTAGCTCCAACAATCAAGAAGGGGGTTTTTAACGAGGCCTGAAATTCTTATCAAAAAAAAAATTGTTGTAAAAGTGGATGAATGATTCAAAGGATTGGAGGGCAACTAACCCATTCACCCAAATGCGTGGGATGTGAGCAATCTTATGCCAATCGGCACCAATGTCCTTCCTACATCTTTCCTCCAACTGGGGCACTTCTAGTATAATCAACTCTTCCAAACTGGTTAGGCCACGCATCTCATCCGGAAGCGATGTTAAATTGGGCAAATCTACTAGATTAAGCTCTTTCAGATTTGTTAGATGTTGAAGCCACTCCGGAAGATGCCGACACTTTGGAATATTTTTGAGATGGAGATGCCGTAGGCTCGTATAATCTTGGAATATTTGGATGCCATCTGCAGATAGCTCAAGCTCCGTGCAGTCGTATATTCGAAGACTTTCAAGAGAAGTGAGATGTTGGAACACAGGAAAGAGTGACCTCAATCCACTGCAATTCTTGATTTCTAGTTCTTTCAACTGAACAAGATGCTGAAGGCAAAGGGGAAGAGACGCCAGCTGTGGAAGTTCAATAATCTCCAGATGCTCAAGAGAAGTCATCTTTTGCAGGAATTCGTTTAGCATGTCGTAGTCCAGTTCTTCATGAATATTCCCCACTTTGAAAGATTTCAATTTGGAGAGAGGGAGAGATGAGGTTGACGGTGTAGTGTCGCTCATTTGAATGGTATGCTTTAATGGCCTTGAACTGGTATTCACCAATATTAGCTTATATTCGACTGATGGATACAACGGCATTGAACTCAAAGGGCAATTTTCAATCCATAAATAGTAGAGACAAGGAAATGCCATGGTTGATGCTCCTCTATCCTTGTCGTCATCCTTATCATCGTCGATCGGGCTTTTCCTCCACCAACTCTGCATATTTGGGCAGTTGCTGAGCGTGAGAAATGTAAGCGATGGGAAGAATGATTCTGATTCACCTTGTCCTCCACTGGGCTCACTGCCGTCCATGGACTCCAGCTCAGATAGATCACAAATCCTAAGCCGTTGAAGGTGTGGCAATCGAGCAAAGGAAGGGAGATGTTTAAATTTACTGGGACCCCATATTTCAATATCCACCAGATTTGTGAGCAAGCCAACTTGGAAACTCGGCATCGCCCCTCCATCCTATCACTTGGAGCTCCCTCAGATTAGGATGGGGCTGGAGGTCTTCAAGTGACTTCTCTTCATCTTCACTATCTCCGCTCCATTCTAAAACCAGTTCTCGTAGATGTTGCTTCCCTTTCAAATTAGCAGCTTTAAACTTCTCTCTTGCATTTCTCACGAATCCCAAATTTGTTATTCTTAGCTTTCCCCTCAGGTTGTTGAGCTGACTCAATTCACTTAGATCTGCAGCAGCAGTACCATGGGAGCCGTCTTTATCCACAACAAACATGCTTAACGTCAGAAGCGAAGTCAGCTTCCCTATTCCACGTGGCATATGAGTTAAGGCACAACAAAATTCACACTCGAGATGGGTAAGATTCACCAATTTTTCAATCTTCTCTGGCAATTCTTTAAGCCCAAAGCAGCATTGAAGTCTCAGCACTTGAAAATTTTGTATCTTACAAATACTCTTTGGGAGGATCTTAAGATTGGCATTGAAAGAAAGATCAAGGTACCTCAAATGTTTCAGCTTATGAATGGAGCTTGGAACTGTATCAAGTTCTAATGCATAAAATTCTAAAACACGCAAGCATCTACCATTTGAAATTATCCAATCCCAAATCGCATCACTCCTATTTTTAACCCTGCTGACTCCATAACGTAACAAACTCCGCAATTTCTTTCCCTTGAACAAATGAATTAATGAAAAATCAATTGATATGTGACGACATTTCTCATCAATCTCACTTGTACTTGAATTTGAATCTTGAATGCAGCTCTCCGTCCCTGCTACATATTCAGCAAGGTCATGCATTAAATCATGCATTTTACATGTTACACTCCAACGTACATCTTCTTCTACCTCTTGAAAGAAACTTCTTTCAACCAGACATTTAAAATACTCGAACCCAATCTCTTCAAGAGATTCACTCGGATTTGATTGTTTTACAAACCCTTGTGCAATCCAGAATTGAACAAGTGTTTGCACATAAATTCTATGATCTTTTGGGTACAATCTGCAATAAGCAAAGCAATGCTTCAAATGAGATGGGAGATGATCATAACTCAACCTAAGTGTAGGCAAAATCTCACCGTCTCTTTGAGATATTCTAGCAAGTTCATTATCTTTGAAAGAAAGCCACTCAGTTTCAGTTTCTTTAAAAGATAAGGTACTAGCTATTGTCCTTATGACTAAAGGAACTCCATGACACCTTTCCAAAATCTGCTTTCCTATCTCCACAAAGACTGAATTTGTCAAATCTGCAGATCTTTGTTCAAATGCTATTTCTTTGAACAAAAACCATGCATCATCATCAGACAAGCCTCTCAGAACATGTGGCTGACATTTACTAGTAACCTTAGCTACCCTCGTAGAGCGAGTAGTTACGATTATCCTACTTCCTTTGGCTCCACCCATCAGTAACTTCTTTAAGCTAATCCATAGTTCCCTCTCCTCATTCCAAATGTCATCTAAGACAAGCAAATATTTTTTCCCGTCAATTTTGTCCCGAAGTTGTTTTTGCAGTTGATCCATTTCGAGATTTTGAGCAGGTGCTTGATGAGTTACAGATTTAATGATGTTTTCTACAATTGTTCTAACATCAAAAACTTCGGAAACACAGACCCACATCCTTAACTCGAAGTGATTTTTAACAATTTCGTCGTTATAGACCAACTGCGCCAACGCAGTCTTGCCTAAGCCTCCGATCCCCACCATGGGAATGACATAAATATTCTCTTCGCTTTGAAACTCCAACAAGAGTCTTAGAAGAGCTGCTTTGTCATCGTCCCTCCCTATGATTTCACATTTCGACACAAAAGAGTGCGTCTGCCGCCTCCTTTTGGCCATGAAAGAGGTTTCCACAGGATGGTCACGCTGAACCAAGTTCAACATGTTGGCCTGACTTTGAATGGAATTAAATCTGGCCTTGATGGCCTTGATTTTTCGTCCCATTTTCAGACCATAAGTAAACGGGTTCGATCTCGAGAAGCAAACTCGTACCTCTTTGGAGAACTTGTTCCCACTCATCAGATCCTTCCGCAAGGCTTCGGTACGGACATCATCCAGTAAGTCTTCCGCGTCATACATAGCATCTTTCAGCTTTGCAAGCCAATCTTTGACGAGTTCGCTGGTCACGGACTGCTTTTCCGCGTCGAGAAGCATGGCTTTGATTGCGGAGATGATGCTTTTGAGGTCGTCGAGGTCGTCTTTGAAATTCCACCACAAGCCAAGTTGCTCCATAACATGGGAGCTCAGTTCAGAAATGAGCTTTCCGGCGATGTCATAGGCGATTCCTTCGGCCATTGCTGGTTGAAACACAAACGAAGGCTACAGTGTTTGATTACTTGCAAGAGGAGATGAGATGAAATGAAATCAAATGAAATGAAATGAAAATGCAGGTGTTAATACATGTGGTGTGTGTAGTATTTTATAACAACTCCACTAAAAAGGTTGTTTAATATTAAAAAATGGTAAACTATATATTTAGTCCCCAAGTATCACTTTTGTTCTTTTTAGTCATTCAACTATATTTTTTAAAATGATCACTAACGTGACATTTTGGTCTCATTTACGTCACTCACCGTTAAAAAATTAACAGTAACGTTGAACATGTCAGATAATTCTATTTAATCATTGAAAAAATAAAAAAAAAAGATAAAGTACACAAATGATTTCGACTATAAGATATTACTTTATTGAGTCCTTAGACTATTAAAAGTTATAAAATGGTCCATCGACTATGGAGAGTTGCTTTGTTGAGTCTCTCAACTATTAAAAGTTATAAAATGATCACTTAAATGTTCATTATGTTCTATACTCGTCCTTTTCCATTAAAAAGTTAACAGTCATACGAGTTTGACGTTAACATGTTAACTAAGATATGATCAGATTTTATCTTATATCAGCCAGTTGGTTAGCGTACAACTCAGACTGTAGTCAAATTTTTAATCGAAAATGACGAGTTTGGAACATAATAAATAGTCAGTTGACCATTTTATAACTTTTAATAGTCAATGAATTCAACAATATCACCAATTGATTTATCATATTTATCAGCAATTAGAGCATTTGTTATATTATTCTATTTCTTGTCTCCCCTTTCTATCATGTTGAAGAAGCTTATGAACAAATTTCGTGATGGTATTTTTATAAATATTTTACATTTACGAATGAAAATATTGAAAATATTTTCAATAATTCAAGCAAGTGGCTGGATGACTAAAGCAAAGTAGGGGCTTCGGCCTGAGAAGAAGACAAAAGCTTTCATCGATAGGAGCAAAGTCTTTTATTAAATAAAAGTAGGCCCTTTGGTCTCAAAAGTCGATATTGGCCTAACGAGGAAGATATTTCTCATCAACGACATTTACTATTCGATTAAATTTGAATACAAATTTGAATAATTAGAATATACTCAAATTTTATAATGAAAAATCAAAATATAGGTGGCCACATTTCTGGGTACAGGTTGCCAAAGTGTCGGCTCGTGTCCCGGCACGTTAAGCCCGAGTACCCGTAAGTCTGAGTATCCGCATTTTTAGATCATCAGTACTCTGTTCATATTTTTTTTATTTTTTCTTTAAATTACATTACTTTAAAAAATTACATAAAATATATAATTGAGATTTAAAAAGTCTATAAAACATAATTCTCCAATAAAATTTAAAAATTCAAATTACATAATTAAAATATAAAACTTATTAAAAATAAAATTAATGACATACATTAAATTTAAAATATTTTAAAGTTAAAAGAAATTACTTGAGAAATAATTTAGATTGTTACGGTGAAATAATTTAAGAAATTAATAATTTAGAATGTGATGATTATTTTAGGCTTGGGAAACACTCCAAAGTCAACCTAAATTACTTGGTTTGGTTTCTAATCTTATTCTAAAGCTTTAGGGAGTTAACTAGAATCTTAAAGTAGCATACAAATGTCTTTTTAACCTCTAAAATGTGTATATCAAATATAAACCCTAAAATACTTAAATACTCCAATCTTAGAAATCTCTTTAAATTTAAGAAAACTTAACATTCCAAAGGATTAAAAATACACTATCTTGGAGTTATAAACCCTAAATGAAATCCTTTGCTTAGCCAAACTCCTTTTCATGGTGATTTGGTGAAAACTCTCACTTTTCTCTTTTAACTATACAAACCCAAGGCTCCATTGGTGGGGGAAGAATCATTCCCAAATATGACACGCATAAAAATGTCCTGAAGGTCATAGAGGGCAGTCTCAAGATGAGTCATCGGTGAGCATTCGTTTGCTTTGTTCACAATTTTTCATAATCTTGTCTTTAAAGACAAGCCAAAGGAAAAATCGGATGCGTTGAGGGACTTGAAGTTTCCAAATGAATTTTCATTGACTGTCAGATGGATGCCACGATGTTTCCAGTAGACTAGTGTAAGCTGATTTGGTGTTGAAACGTAAGTCATTGGTTAGACCCCATACGAGTTGGACATGAACGTCTGAAGGGTCTGGTGGCTTACAATTGATAATATGCTCCATTCACATTATGCTTACCGAATAGATATGCTTTAAATCTTTTGAGACTTTGTTCTTCTAATAGGTTCGAGTAGAAACATTGGTCCAAAGAAGCATGTATTATCATTATGGACTCTAGTGCATGTATCATTCCCCTACTCCTCAAAAGGATTCATCCTCGAATCTGAAAATCCAAGAGAAAGAGAATTAGATGTGTTGAAAGGAAAACTTGTGAAATATTTACCATAATCAATGTGATGTGTCTTTATGCGTTTTAGTCAAGGTTTCTTCTTTGTATGAACTGATTTCTTATAGTCTTGAAATCCTCTTTTGCATACAAGTCTTGTAATTTGACGTTTAGGTTGAAATTCAACATGGCGCCAGCTATTAGTGGATTTCTTTATGATTGCTTCCGATATTCTCTTCATGGTTTGACTCATGTGTGGCAAAAATGAGTGTTGAAAAACCATGTCAACTAGTTTGTTAAAGTAATCCCTTAAGTCTCCTAAGTGTGGTTCATGAATTAAAAATTCTTGGGAGGAGATTTATGGACTGCAGAACCTTCGTGATAGTGCATCATCTACTATGTTTTACTTACCTCGGTTTTTTACGCAGTTAAAGAAGTTGTGTTTAGTATGGACGACAACTTCAAGAGTCTTACTTTGTAAAAAAAAGAAGTACGTTACAATATCATTAAAATGAGTAATAAAATATTTACCTTTGGACTCTCATAAATCATGACTCTTCATTGATATGACATAGTGATTAGGGATTTCAGGTGGTAACCCGTCAGGAGGGTCACCTAGCACCATTCAACAACTATTGGTGATGGAAGATGGTGTGAGCCAGTCCCATGTTGCTTTCACTTTTTCATCATTTACATGGATTCCTTGTACACGAACTATAAAGCCTAAAAATATAAGCTTATCACTATAAAACACACATTTTTCCATGTTAGCGTATAAGTGTTCTTGCTGAAGAAATTCAAGAGCCGAGGGAACGTGAATGAGATGAAGATTAAGAGAATAATATTAGATAAAAATATCATCAAGATAGATAATAACATATTTACCTGTGGAGTTGTTCAAATCATGTTTCATCACTAAGATGGCGTCACGACTAAGGCTTTCTTAGATGTTGCCTT